TATTTGGTAGCCAAAAATAATATATAAAATAAGTTTTTTGGATCTGACCTGGATCTAGATCCGAATCTCATGTATACTTTTTGGATATGGATCCAGATTTAAATATTTTAGATCCAATCCCGTCCGAATCCGAATCCAAATCCCATGTATACTTTTTGAATCCGAATCTGGATCCTGGTGGATCGAGAATCAGATCCGACCCATTCTCATCCCTGACAATATAGTAGTAATTGTATAGTGAGGCTGGACCCTTTTCTATACTTTGGCACGTCTTAAGTGGAGGCTGGCCTTGCTTTAGATCGGATTCAAATTTGGTGAGTAGGGGTGGCAACGGGTCCGGTACGACTTGGACCTAGACCTGAATGTATTCGGGTCCAGGTTTTTTACTTGGACCCAACACGTCGAGTCCAATAGTTGAACCCATACCCATCGAGTCTTGAGGTTTATCCCATCGGGTCCAAGGTCTGTTTGGGTCCATTGCCACTATCACTCTAAGCGTCTCATTTCTCCTTTTTTTTTTTGGCCAGTTTTTTTTTTATCATATATCTATATTATTGGTAATATGGTCACAATCATTTGCCATTAGATTTCAAGCAGTCTGATTTGTCGTTTATTAGTTGAAGATGACAACGAATTCTTATTGTATATGAGCTTTAATACGCCCAAACAAATAGGTCTTGAAGTATTTTATCTCCAACAATTTACGGGTACGAGTCGGGTCCAATCATGCCTGAGTTCAGATCCGAATAATGTTCAGTTCCAGGTTTTGGGCTCCGACCTCAATCTGCGGGTCCAAATGTTGGACCCATACCCAGAGCCCTATCGGATATACCCGTCGGGTTCCGGGTCAGGTCCGGGTCCATTGCCATCCCTATTGGTGAGGCACAACACAATTTGGATACATGGAAATTTTTCCCTAAGGCAGCTACCCAATAGGGTTTAGTACGGAAAATTCAAATTTGCCCCATGACAGCTACACTGGTTTGTACTTCTTTAATAATGAAAATTACTTATCTAAGGAGAATCCTTATCTCTGCAAGGCTGCAGGCACAGGTAGCCTTGTACAATGATAGGAAGTAATATTCATGCATTATGAATTGGACAAGATTTAAAATTGGAACCCTAGATCATGGTGTTTGTAACGACTAACAACGACTGAAATTGTGGCTTAAGATATCCAATTATAATGGGCATACTGGATTATATGAAAAATATTATAGTATTGACGTAAAAAAAATCATACATAGGTCCAAATATTATTAGGTCTTGAGAGGTTAATCATAACGGGAATCTTAACGGCTAGGGGAGAGCTTGTCAAAACTCCTAACTGCCTACAGGACATTAATTTTAATAATGAATTATTTGTCGCTATTGGACATTAATTTTAATAATAAATTATTTGTGGTGGGCTGGAGACCCTATAGAAATGGAGGTTTTTCTTAAGGACTGTGTTGTTGAGAAAAAGAATTGTGATGATTATCAACACTAAGTCTATCCAACACGGCAGGGTTTGGCCTATAGGATTTGGATAAGCACCTCAAGCTCATTATGTAGTTTGGGGACAGATCCGAGCATCTTACTATCTATAATCCTATCTCTGCCAAGCTTTCCTTTTAGAATATCACCTATATGTGTATGCCACAATATCAATTTTCATTGGTCACTTAAAAATTTTTTTTTGTATTTTTTTTTCATAATCTACTCCAATTATCAAGAAAAACAGAAACTTGATAAACCTTTTTATATAAGGGATTGTATATAATGTGACCATTTACTTTAATACAAGGAGGTCACAATTATTTATAACCATCCGATGTGAAATTTGATAGCTTTGGTGTGTCACAATTTGAGAAAATTTCTTTTGAACTTTGTGCTTGGTCAATGGAATATATGCAACCACTCAATTTTATATCCAATAGTCAAGATTAATTGTTGTAAATGGTCTCATTATATACTTTCCTTTTATATAAAGGGTATGGGTTGTACAGAGCCGAGGTTCTAAACAATCAAAGTAAAGTGCACCTTCAAATAGTGTCGAAAAATATGGTTTCAATACTGGAAACCTTTTTAATAGCCTTAAAATATATTTTCATATGTAATTATAATATTTAAAGCTTAAAAAATAGTGTAGATCAAGCAGATCTATCAGAACTTGAAAATTTTGAAAATTGATTGTCAAAAAATGTATTACAAGATGCACTAGTTTCAAAAATTGAAATCTATTTTTTTTCTCATATCCATATATCTTGATGTCGAGATAATCAATTTGAGATATTTCGGCATCAAAACAACCTTTCATAGTAAAAGTTTTGAGGTGGGCTTTAGTTTTATTGTTTAAAGCCTATGCTCTATATAGACGTTTTCCTCATATAAATGGATTATCACAAGGAGGCAATATCTTGACGCTTAAAAAGTAGTGATTCACATAGGGATTCTAAAACTTTAGGTAAAATACAAAACGTTTCGTTTATATGCAGAAATTACAAAGAAGGTCAGTTACCCTACATTTTTTTATTTTATTTTTCAAAATTGCCCTTAGTCAACTCAAATGTTTTATTTTTTATTTTTAAATTTTTTCGTTAATAGGGAAGTGCCCCAAGCTTTAAAACAATGGCGTACTAAAGAAAAAAAAAAAAACTGAAAACAAATCAAACTTCAGGCGATAAATAGTTAATTTTAAAAAAAAAAAATAAAAAAAAAGCGTTGACCGATGTTTTTTTGTAATTTCTGCAAATAAGTGGAGAATTTCGTATTTGACTTAAAACTTTTAAAGTCCGTATGTAAATCACTAAAAAAAAAACGTTTCTATATTTCTCTGCAATTCTCCAATTTGGAAAAAGAGACAATGAAGATCTTTGCATATATGCAAAGATTCACATGCTTTCAATACGTAGTCCAAATATAGGAAGTTAGCATCGAAAAAAAGTGCAAATATAGTATGTTGCTGCCAGCGTATTACGAATACAAAAGCAAGAGTATCAATGGAGTAATGAAATTTGTATAACTGTAAATATTTAATCAGCATAAAAAAGTGGTGTCCCTTACCTTAAATACAGCTGATAAAATAGGTCATTCTCTCCCTAACCTATGCTCAAATCAAAGAAGAGAGCTTTAGTGGTGAGCAGGAAGAATGCGTTCACCATTGTTGTTATTGAGTTTGGTGGTGGTGGTCCTTCCTTTAAGACATGGGGAGGCAGGAGCAGATTATGGACAAGCATTAAACAAGGCTCTTTTGTTTTTTGAGGCTCAAAGATCAGGGAAATTGCCTCCGAATCAGAGGGTTCAGTGGCGAGGGGACTCTGCTCTGGACGATGGACATTCCACTGGGGTAAAATACATTGCTTTCCATTGTTAAAATCATAGTTACTGGGATCTCTTATTTTGGTTGACGATCCCTTCTAAGATCGCAATTTTGTCGCTCTCGAAACAAATCTTTTAGGGATATCGATTTTTAAGATCCTGATTCCTGCTGTTAGAGATCTTGATCCCAACCATAAAGACCAAAACAATAACTAAACTCACGATTTTCTTTGTCTATAGCCAACTAACAACACAACTATTGCTTGCTTGCAATCCATAATAAGATCTATACTTTAAAGAGTATTCATAATCCTAGATTATCATAAACTTTAAAGTTTGCAACAAGATCCCCAAAAGTTGGGATTAAGATTTCAAAGGGTCGGGATCAAGATAACTAAAAGGTTGGAATCTCTATCCCTAACATTTGATAATCTCTATCCCTAAATGTCCATTATACATGCATTATATGGATGGGGTTCCCAACTATAGGGATCTTCTAGCATTTCTCGATCCCTCGCTCCCATTCCCAATCTCTGTACCGTTCTCGCTCCTGATCCCTACAACTATGGTTAAGATCTATCCTTGTCTTAAAGCAAGGTCTCTAGTGGGACATGGGTCTCAAGCTTTGATAATGTTCTTGCACAACTAACGAAAGAAGATTGAACAACATGAAGAAATATGCTAAAATTAAAATCTATAAAAATCAAATATTTTAAAACCAATTTTAGAATCTAGATAGGAAAATATTGCCCGAAATAAAGATTTCTAGTGCATATACTATTTCCTAGCTCCCTTAAGCAAAGGGGCTACTTGGGAGACTTTGATTGATCTAAAATTTTGGGATCCAAGGATAACCACATGAATAATTTTTAAAAATAAAAGTTTGATTTTGAAGTCTTGAACACTTAGATCTTGCCATCAAAAAATTAGATGCCCTTCAATCCATTTAAAAGTTTTTTGGCTTTTTGAGGATGGCCTCTTGTTTCAAGAGGTTGCGTCTACAAAATTTATGTCTTAGAATTGGTTTTTACGGGATTTATAGTTTGTTCCTTATTTTGTGATATTTTATGTGGAGTCTCTCTCATAGCTTTTTGATATTTTTATTGTTTTTAAGATAGACCGATGCCATTCATAATAAATTCATTAAAAACTGCTTTTTAAACATATTAACAAACATGGAGAAAAAAAAAAGATAAGTTTTTCCTGCAAATAAATATGTTTCTTGAGAAACTATTTACACACCAACCAAACGTGCCTTTAGAGTTACAAGTAAAATATATATAGCATGGATTGTTTACTATGAGATCATTTACCTTGTTGCAAGGAAGTCATAATTACAACCAACCATTTGATGTTAAATTGGATGGCTTAGAGTGCCTCATAGAGGCCGAGAAAATTCTATTTCATAACTTTGATTCTAGTCAATCATATACTCACGATTTGAAATCCGATAGACAAAAGTGCCTATGACCTCCTTGTATTAAAAGTAAATGGTCTTTTTGTAGTTTGTGGTGAATAAATGCTCTTTGGTGAGGTTTAGTGAATAAAGGTTAACATCGGACTACCCATTTTCCTTTTTTTATATTATCTACAAATTGTCTAATGTTTCAGATATCGGAGCACCTAATTTCCATTTTTGTTAAATCATATACAAGTTGTTCAATGTTTTAGATATGAGACGTACTCATTCAAACATTGTATGTGGAACGACGGGATGGTTTGATTGTTTTCAATATTGGATAGCTCTGATAATAAGTGCTCAACTATCCACGGCATCAAACTAATAAACCGGCGGCAAAACAAAAATTTTTAAAAGTTAAAAACAAAAAGATACAAACTGAAGCACCTCCATATAAACTATCAAAAAATAAGGACCAAGCCGTTATTCCAGGAAAATTTTCCAGTCCCTACAAAATTTTCTCGATTGAAGAAACGATGGAAGCAAGTCTATCCACAGCACCGATAATGTTCACATCTAACCACAGAGTTATATCATGGGTTCAAATTTCAAATTCCAGCAGTTAAAAATGGGTGAAAAAAGGAATTATTTCAGCACTTTAAAATGGGTGAAAGAAGGAGTTCAAAGATGTTGCAGAATTGTGTCACAAACACACACTAAATGTTGCAGAATTGTTTGTTAGTACCTCTCAAAGATTAGGGTTATGCAATCTTAACAGGATGATCTTGTCGGAGGGTACTACATCGATGGCGACAACGTGAAGTACTCGTTCCCTATGGCCTTCACTGTGACCATGCTCGCATGGAGCGTGGTTGAATACTCTAATGAGTTGCAGACAAGCAATGAGCTCTCACATGCCATGGAAGCTATAAGGTGGGGCACTGACTACTTCATCAAAGCCCAGCCAAAAGATACCGTTCTGTATGCTGTAGTAGGGGACCCCATCTTGGACCACGCTTGTTGGGAGAGACCAGAGGATATGACAACATCAAGGCAGGCATACCGTATCGATGAGGCCCATCCTGGCGCGGATCTGGCCGGAGAGACTGCAGCCGCTTTGGCTGCATCGTCGATGGTTTTCAAATCGAGCGATTCGACCTATGCTCTCCTGCTGCTTGACCATGCTAAGAGGGTTAGTTTCCATTCTTTTCTTGCGTTCTTCTTCCCAGAATATGGCTCACAATCACAATTACAGCCTTTATAACATTGTTGTTCATTGGAATGTAATGGATGGTGATGGAGTGAGAGCTCAACGCAATAGGACATGATTCCTTGCTCTCTCTCCATCATCATGGCTGGGCTTGAGTAGTTAGCAATTGACGTTAGCAATGTTATATCTCGAGTTTAAATCCTACTGCTGAATTCCTGATAAAAAAACTCTATCAATCAGTATGATGATGATGAGTTCTCGTCTTTTTTCGGGTATGATTTCCTAATATTAAAGCACTGGTATTCCCTTTTATAAAAGAGTTTGCCTACAAAGAAAGTTTGTGCCTAATAAATGACACTCTCGTCTACAACTATTCCCTTTTATGAAAGTATATAGTGTCTTTTAATTTTTTTCTCATACGTCGTATTAAACTTCAGTATATTTAAACTTCCCACCATCACAAACCTATAAACTCTAGACAAACCCTTACTTAAACTATAGGTTTGTGATGGTGGGAAGTCTAAATATACTGAATTTGAGTTTAATATGACGTATGAGAAAAAAATTAAAATACACTTATATCCTTTCATAAAAGGGAATAGTCGTAGACAAGAGTGTCATTGATTAGGCACAAACTTTTTCTGTAGACAATCTCTTTTATAAAAGGGAAGTCTAAATATACTGAATCTTTATTTGGAATCTTCTTTGTAGACAATGTTTTCTTTTATTTTTTATTATTATTAATTTTACTGCAATTGGATAGCTTTAATAATTTTGTATATGTAATTTTATTTCCTTTTCTCAATGCCTTTTCTGACATTGACATTTATTTTTATTGCGACAAGTATTAATGTGTTTTCAAGTAGAATGCTCTAAGAGCAAGAAAATGCTTAAAAAGACATGAATAGAAGTATTGAGAAAAAATACAGTGACTTTTAATCTTATTGCGAACATGACCCTTGATAGAGAAGAATGGATTCATGTAGCGACCCTATATAATTGAGATAAGGCTGGATGAAGATGATGATGGTGATAACTATTATTGTTTTGAGAGTCAATAGAAGTTTGTACTTTTGCAAGAATTCCTCTTTTTAACTTTATTATAGATAAAAGAAATGAAAATGTCAATAAAGTAGAGGGTTGCTAAGAAATGTTTGATTTGATTAAAATTTTTGCTTCAATAGAAACTTTTATTTAGAGAAAAATTAGATGAATTAAAAGAGTTGGGGAAAATTTTAAAAACTTACATTCCTAATTGTTCTCGCTTAGTATATAGATAAGCGAGTTGAATTAGGCAGCTTCAATTTGTTTTGAGAATATGGCTGGGTCATGGTGGTATGACAACTTGTGCACCAACTAAATTCTAGGCTTCAGTTCTCACCTAACGCATTAAACAACCACTATTCAAAAATAGTATAGGCTCGTCTTCCCCACTGAATTACCAAAAAAAAGAGGTGAAATTTGGTTTTGTTCAGTTTTTAAGGATACATTTCAATAACTACTGGGCAGTTTCATTAACTTGAATTGTGAAGATGCCCAATGATTTAACTTCAAATATGAAATTTGGTTATTGTTTAGCTGAGTGATCCAAGACTAGATAATCTGGACCAAGAATTGGCTATGACTGAACTGTTCCCGAGAAAGTATCCAGCTTGAACCCCACCACCTTAAGAAAAAAACTCCACATGGTCATACTTATTTTTTTGCATTTTTTGGTTCACGAATTTGAATCAATCCAAATAGATGACCCGGTATCCAACACAAACCCCGAGTGGATGATCCATCACACTAATGCGGGCTCTAAAACAATAGTTTAGCTTCAGTCGAATCCCAGTTGTCCTTGGTAGTGTTGGCTTTCAAATAGCATTGAGAAATATGGAAATCTTTGTGAGAGCCTTAAATGTATTTTCATTTTTAATTATAAAATTTAAAGCTTAAAAACTAGTGTAGATCAAGCAGCTCTATAAAAACTTGAAAATCTTGATAATTGACTCTTCAAACATACATTACACGATGCATTATTTTCAAAACTTGAAATTTATTTATTTCATATGTCCATGTATCTTGATGTCGAGATGATCAATTTGAAGGCACTTGGGCATCAAAACAACCTCTTCTAGTAAAATTTTTGAAGTTGGTTCTAATTTGATTGTTCAGGGCCTCAGCTCTATATAAATGCTTTTTATTTATAAAATACCCTTTAACACAAATTGATTTTTAAAATTTTTTTTCACTACTTATTTAATCATTGAGATTGCATTTGAGCAATGGGTGTAAGACGCCATTGTTGGTTGATTTTGCAGCTCTTTTACTTTGCTCGTGACCATCGAGGGGTGTACTCCCAAACCGTCGGCGGTTATGACTTGTATGCCAGCACCGATGACAAAGTAACTCACTCACTCTCTCTCTCTCTCTCTCTCTCTCTCTCTCTCTTAATCTTCTGTCTGTTTTTTAATGTCCTCACCATCTTTCTCTCTCTAGGATGAAATGCTGTGGGCCGCAGCTTGGCTCTATCGGGCCAGTGGTGACCCGGTGTTCATTGATTATATGAGGCATAACGAAGATAATGGAGGTGTAAAGAAATACTTCTCATGGGACGAAAAATTTCCAGGCGTTCAAGCCCTTGTATCAATGGTCTCTCTCTTTATCTCTCCTTGAGTGCATGTAGTGTACCCTCACAGGTTCATATTATGCATTAGCTCCCTCAGGCATATTACCCGGAAGATCTTTTGGTGCTACGGATTGGGATCTACTAGAGAATCATCGGTATTTTTAAAAAGGAAATTTTAGATTTTGAGTTTATTAATACTAGCATTCGATTATCCAAAAGTTTGATGGTCTCTTTTCAATCAAATGATGCAATATTTTCATGCACTTGTATGAGTGCTAATGAAATTTTTTGAAATTTCTCTTATATCCTCGGATTTTATTGAGGGTAGGAGCTATAATGTTGGTTAACCTTTCTTTGTGACAACACTTTCAGATTGAATGTTAAGTATGCTCATAATCTGAGTTCTTTTATGTCAGTGCACAATTGAGATGGCTTGAGTCACAATTCATCCCTAAAATGGTTTCATTTTTAATTTATTTACCAATAACTTCTACATGAAATTTAGGGCTCCTTGGGGTGCACCTAATAAAAGTAACAAAAAAAATGTTAATAAAATAATAAAAATATACCTTTAAGCTATACCCCCATTTTGGACATTTTCTATAATGGACATATTTGTTTCTTACTTTTTTCAATGGGGGCGATTTGTATATAGCTTAGGCTCTAAACAATCGAAGTCGAGTGCACCTTCAAATAGTGCTGAGAAATATGGTCTCAATATTGGAAATCTTTGTGATAGCCTTAAAATATGTTTTCATCTCTAATTATAAAATTTAAAGCTTAGAAAATAGTGTAGTTCGAACAGATCTATGAAAACTTGAAAATCTTGAAAGTTGGTAGTCCAAAAATACATTACAAGATGCACTATTTTCAAAACTTGAGAGAGGCTCTAATTTGATTGATGATCAATTTGATGATATTTGGGCATCAAAACAATATCTTTTAATGAAATTTTTGAGATAGGCTCTAATTTGGTTGTTTAGAGCCTTGGCTCTATATAAACTTCTTCCTTTTTCAATTGCACCTCAATGACGACCCTCTAATTTCACCTCAATAATTTGTATTAGAAGATCAAGATTGAAATACTTGTTTTCAGTTTAAGATCAGATGATCCAAGGCTTATGACATTATGATCGAAGCTATCCCAACCCTCCAATCTGAGAATTAGAGTAAATTATTTTATGTGGGTGGAGCCACATAAGAAGATTTGCTGCAAGAAAACTTTGGTACTTGCAACCAGTAATGCATATTACCAGTATAGAATCCCTTCCTCACATTTTCATCTTTCACCAAATGTATATTTCATCTTTCACCAAATGTATATTTCATCTTGCTGATTTGTTTTTCTAATTTTTTCTTTGTGATTTGTAAATGTATGTTTCATCATTCTCTCATCAGTTCTTGCTGCAAGGGAGAGTGACAGAGGAGCCGTATTGGGATGCATTCCGGAGCAATGTGGAAACATTACTCTGCCAATATATTCAGAAGAGTGGTACCTCAAACGCGAGGACAACGCCTGGGGGCCTTCTTTGGCTCAATCCCTGGATTAACCTCCAGTATATCTCCACTGCATCATTCCTCCTCACCGTCTATTCCGACTTTCTCTCAACTGCCCGAGGTGGCCCGAGATCTCTCATGTGCCCTGCTGGTCAGGTCCAGCCCTCTGAGCTCCTCTCCTTCGCCCGTTCACAGGTATATTTTACTTGCACTGGTCACTTTCTTGTTTTCTTTCTCATTACTATGGATCACTTAAAGTAAACCCCCCATCAAAAGAGAAAATTAAAGTAGCCTGTTGAAGAGATTTTCTCTTACTCACTTTCAATTTCATTAACCAGGCCCCAAATCTCATTCAAAATCAAACCCCTTCAGATAAAACCAACCACAAAATACCATGTAAATTCATCAACATCTCTAAATTGAAACTAATATCAAAAAGCAATTGCAGGTGGACTACATTCTAGGCACCAATCCGAAGGCCGTTAGCTACATGGTTGGTTATGGCAGCAGCTACCCATGGCATGTGCACCACAGAGGGGCTTCAATCGTCTCCGTGAAGAAGGACCCAACGCCCGTTGGCTGCGAAGATGGTTTGAAAATATGGTTTGATAACACCGGCCCCGACCCCAATGTCATTGATGGGGGCGTTGTCGGGGGACCCGATGAAAATGATGCATTTGGAGATAACAGAAGCCTAATGGCACAATCACAGCCTGCAATCTACACCACTGCACCTCTAGTTGGTGTCCTTGCCAAGTTAGCAACAATGAAATGAACTCCATCTTATTCACTTTATGATGAAGCTTTAACTGAAGGGTTGTTTTTAGAACACAAGCTCAAAGTAAATGATTGAAAAACAGAAGCCTTTACAGGTAAGAGCCTTGTATTTAAAATTGGAAGGTAGCCTAGTAAATTTTCTTTGAAAAATATTCCCCAATTGTTTGTTGGGTGTGGTTTGCGTAAGGTTGTAACTTTAAACAATCAAATTAAGGTGCACCTCCAACTTTTGTCATGAAATGTAATTTTGGTGGCGAAAATTCTGAGGATGGTGTAAGAATCGTAAGACCCGAAAGGATCATCATTAAATTTGGCACAGATATCTAAAAAAGTCAAGTCCCGTACCCATCTAATAACGTTTCTAGAAATTTGTACCAAATTTAATAGTGATAATTTGGGATCCTACACACATTTGTGTGGGAGGCTCTCATAAGATCATTACTCTTATCTCTAATTATAAAATTCTAAACTCCAAAAATGGTTCAAATCAATAAGATTTATAATCATGAAAATCTTGAAAATGGGAGGTATAGATAATGTTATGCATTATGTATTATGTTTAGGATTTGAAATCTCGACATCAAGATGATCAATTAGATATTTTCTTAACATCAAAACAACCTTTTGCGAAGGCTTTTAGAGGAGCACCTTAATTCGACATTTAAAGGTGTCTAACATTATATAAACGTTCTCCTAGTTTCTTTGAGTATGTTAAGTTTATGTTCTGATAAGTCACGCTAAGTTTGATTTAAAAGGGAAAATATCTTTTTACCCCCCATTTTAACTTGTTTATCTCATCAGTCTTAAGAATTGATAATATTACTTGTACGTAAAAAGGCTCCATATTTTCTATCTTATAACCTCTTAGATCTTTTTTATCCCAAATTTTTTATCCAAAAAAATACTAAAATGACACTCTATCCCTCTTTCTCACATCACCGTCTCTCTCTCTAAACTCCATCTCTCTCTCTCTAAAACCCAAAGTTGTATTGAAAATTCCCCTCCTAAAATTTATCTTCTCTTTTTAACAATTATCTAAAAATTATCCAATGCTACTTGTCTTTGGATAATCATATTCTTAATCCAGAAAGCAAGTTGTCAGTTGCCATTGAATGCAAAGAGCAAAAATTGTAGAGGAAAAAAGAAAGAATCAATAAAGCCCCAAAAGCCCTTAAAACAAACGTTGGACTTCAAAACTGTTTTTCTATTTCAATGGCATTTGACCCTCTCCAAAAACCCTAATTTCTCTCTTGATACTCTCTCAAATAGACAAAGATGGCTCCTTTTATGGGGTTTCTCTGGAGAACACCCCAGAAGAACCCCCTAAAAGCACTAGCAAGAAAGTAGCAAAGACAGAAGCCATGAAAGCTGAGACGTTGAAGAAAAAGCAAGAAATGGCGGCCTCTGCAGCTCTAGTTGATGAAGCAAACCCTCTGGCTTCGTATTACGGAGATATTCCTTTGAAGGAGCTTCAATCTAAGGAGATCAGTGGTCAAGCATGGACCGAAGTGAATCGTTATTAGATGAATTGAAGGATAAAGAGATTTTGATCCGTGGTCAGGCTCAAACCATACATGGCTTTCTCTGTAGTGAGAGAGACGGGGTTCTCTGTGCAATGTGTTTTCACTGTTGCTCCAGGGTTTGTCATTAAACAGATGGTTAAATTCGGTTCTAATGATGGGTGGGTGCTGTAAAAATCAATCAAAATGCCGGAAACCACCAAAGCCACTGATAATGATTTAGCCACCATGAGTGGCCCTCTGATCTCATATTCCGGTGTCGCAGCTGATTTTTTGGCGACTCATGGCCTGAAAACTTGCTAGAAATCAGATACCATTTGCACTTTTCTTTGCCTTCTGTACATTGTCTCGTCAATAACAGCAATAGCATTCATGGACTTTGCTCATAGCGCGGGCTAAGTTGCAATCTATGGATTCAACCTCCAAGTTGACTCCAAATGCTCAGGGGGGGGGGGGGAGGAGATGGAGTTTAGAGAAAGAAAACCATACCGAGAGAAAAGGATATGGTGTCGTTTTAGTGTGTTTTTTGGTAAGTCAAAGTAGTTTTGGGGGTCGTAAGATAGAAAAGATGATAAGCTTTTGTTTACAAGTAATATTTTTAATTTTTAAGTTCGATGAGATAGATAAGTTAAAAAAAAAAAAGTAAAAGTAAATTTTTCCTTTTTAAAATTGGAAAATTTAAGTTAGTACCATTATTTATTATTATTATTATTGGTCCCAAAATATACAACATTTAAGAGGTGGTCCTTGCTTACTGACTTTTTATGGTTTTTTTCCAAGTATTGTCTTAATTGGTGCATGTCAAGGGAACCATGTTACTACTAGTATTTTAGACCTCATTGTTTGAAAGTTTAAGGTGATCCAATGTTTCGGATAGTGGATTGATGAAAAAGTCTAGGCTGATTAGACGACCTTATAAAATTTTTTGCTTTTGACATTTAACACACGTATGAATATCATATAATTAAAAAACATTAATATGGAGCGAACTTGAAAAAAATAAAAAATATCAAGGGACAAAGACTTGTGTATAAATATTGCATATTTTAACTGTCGCGTAATAACTTTCAAATGAAATAGTACGGACTTATTTTTTCCTTTACAATGTTAAAAAGGTGTTTTTGGAAAAAGGTGGACTAATTTTGGAACGATTAGGTGGTTCTGTGTGTTCAAATTGTTCATCTGCACACTCTTATAAAAAACCTAATGGGGAGGATTGATGGTTTCCAAAACTCAAAAATTATATGAAGATCAATTGAAAATGGAGTTGGAGCTCAAAACCTGCTCCAAAACAAAATCCCTCCAAGACCATACCTAGACCATTCATTGTTATTGATGTTACTTCTGGAGAATTTTGAATTCAAAATCTTAAAATTGATTGTAAGATGCATCAAAGAAGACTCGGGAAGAATGTAGGGCTCACAAAAAACCCTGTGGGTAAAATGTAGACTTTGATCCGCTGGGTCACTCATATATTCACTTCATACGATATAATTTTACCCATCTTACCCGCTGAAAATACAAGGCAACTATGGCATATGTGCATCAACACATGAATAAAAAAAAAAAAAAGGTCACCAGTAAATTTAAATAAACGATTCATAAAAAAATCCACCCGAAGAGGTATCATTGTCAAAAAAAACTCCCCTATAATTAATCATCTTGACCTATAAATCATGGCACTGAGAAATAAAAGATTTCAAGTTCTAAACGTAGTACAACTTGCAATACATTTTCTAGATTGTTTATTTTCAAAATTTGTAAGTGTTCACATATATGCTCGATCTGCACATTTTTTGAGCTTTAAATTATTAGATATGGAGATATCCAAAATCACCCCCAAAAAGAAATCTCATGTTATAGGGGAATAATTTTGATACTAATATAGTTTTTAGAGGCTTTCTCAACATAAATTGAAATAATAAAGAAAATTGCCTATTAACGCTTGTTCTTCGTATTCCTCTTGGTCGCTTTTCTCGGATTTGCATGCTTATGATCGATAGTATATTGGGAGGATTCTAATGTTTGAAAGGTAGATCATCCCTACTAGGAATGTTATACACATCATAATAGGTTTTTTTAGGAGAGAGAAGATTGATGTGAAGAGGATTAGGAGAACAAAGAAATTCACCTATTTAGTCGTAACATATTTTTCTCAAGAAAGAGTTTAAATCATGGATGATAGGAAGATTTCTCACCCAAATTAGGTGTTAATAATTGGAAATAATGGGAAAACTCAGTTTCAAATAAAACTAACCCTTGATGGTGGGTCATCTGGTTATGACGGCTCTTAGAATTTGGAAGTAACCCAAAGCTAAGAGGGTTTATTGTAAATTCAGTTTAGGGTTGTCCAAAATCCAAACGCAATTAGGGGATGTCAATAGAGATTAACTTTTTGAGTACTTTTATATTACAAATTAGGGGATGTCAATAGAGATGAGTTTGGCTCTTGTCCTTTTGGCCTTATGTTTCAATTGTTCTCTTTGTTATTCAACAGGTAATTAAGGTGCTGCAATGGATAAATCCATTGTGCCGGGACTCAGCCGAGTACAACTGGACTCGCTCTATGGGTAAGGTGAGTTTTTCCTGAGTCTATTATACACCCAGCATATATAGTTTATACATATTAATATACATTTTTATACTAAAAAAAGGTTCAAAGAGCACAATAGGTAGCAGGTGTGCTTATTTGCCATCTTGGTTAAGGTTCGCCCCCACCCCGAACCAAACAAAGACTGACTTATCTCGGGGCCAAGGACTGAGCACCTTGGCCGAGTGTTTTTTTGGTACTTTGGATAAACCCATTAAAGGTAGGCCACAAGATCAGTTCGCATATTGTAATGATTGTTTAAGAGCACCTGTCTTCCATAAAAAGAAGTGATCAGCAGACCAAAGGAAGTGTGATCGAGTTTAAGACCACGGTGAGTAGGTACTTCAGATATCTATCGGAATAAAAGTTATGTTTGTCGACTGCAAATCCCAAATATCTCTAGAAACCGAGAAAACAACGATCATATGGTGGGACATTTTTTGGAATTCTCCATATGAAGCATTTTATTATTAACACATTAATATGAGTTCTAGCTGCATCAATGCATTGTTCCTCTATAACATACTAATATCATTTTTGAGGTTCAAACACGAGGAACTAAAGTACAAGAAGAAAGCCCATCATTTTATGTTTTTATGTATGCTAATCTTGCAAGAACCCCGACCAGAGGTGCAGTGGTGACGGATGCAGGCTCCCCATGTTGGTAGTCGGACCTAGAGTTGCTGTATGGATCATTTTTGTCAGGTCCCCCAACGACAGCCCCTTCAAGAATGTTGGGGTTAGAAACGTTACTGTTGAACCATTGGTCGAAGCCCCCTTGACAAGTGACCGGTGTCGGATCCTTCTTGATAGATACGATCGAGGCTCCCCTGTGGTGGACCTGAGTCGGATACTTATCCCCGTAGCCAACCATGTAGCTCATCGAAA